GCTCCTGGCCGTCGTTCCGATGGCGCTGGTTTCTGGCCTGGCTCTGGTTCTGGGTCCCCACCGTTCCTCACGGTGACCATTAGGATCACTCCAGTAACCTCTCAAAACAAATAAATATACATACAAACAAAAAATCTAGAATGGACAGACAACAACATGGAAAGCTTAGAATCAGACAGGAAACGCCCAGCGTGGACCCAAACAGGCCTCACTAGGTGGGACACAAAGATTAGTAACGCCTCACTGGGGTATTGGGGATTTCTCTGCACACCCATCCTAAATTAAAAAAAAAAATGTATTGTACCTAAACTGATAACTGTATGGAATCAGGCTGAATACAAACCAAAATTGAAATGTCTATGAAGAAGTCACAGGATGTAGTTAAGAAACCGCATCTTCCCATCAACATACTATTAATCAATGTCATGTCAATTGATGCCATGAGGTTGTAAATGGCTGTTGACGGCATGTCGGGGCCTTTAATTGTTTAGGATGATGCTTAGCTGGACTTACCTTCAGACCAGAGATGGTCTCACCAAGAAATCATTGAACCCACTAGGATAATAAGACACTGGACTTTATGCTTGGTAAATATTTCCAATGAAAGACCTTCAACTGAATTTGAACTGTGGTAATACAACAAGGTGGAGAAATCCACCATGGGGAGAGGGTTCGGGGAGGGGAGGGGGGAATCCCAGTGCCCATAACACTGTGTCACATAATGCAATACAATTAATAAAATTAAAAAAAAAAAAAAAACTTAAACAAAATGGTTTGGGCGCCACCTTGTGGTGGCACGTTAGAAAGCAGGCCGAGTGGCCCATTCTACCAACTGGTCAACCGCTCCATGGGGAGTTAGGTAAAAACTTAAATAAAATAAAATGGTTTGGGCGCCGCCTTGTGGTAGCATGTTAGAAAGCAGGCCGAGTGGCCCGTTCCACCAACTGGTCAACCGCTCCATGGGAATTAGGTTAAAAACTCAAATAAAATGGTTTGGGCGCCGCCTTGTGGTGGCATGTTAGAAAGCAGGCCGAGTGGCCTGTTCCACCAACTGGTCAACCGCTCCATGGGAATTAGGTTAAAAACTCAAATAAAATGGTTTGGGCGCCACCTTGTGGTGACATGTTAGAAAGCAGGCCGAGTGGCCTGTTCCACCAACTGGTCAACCGCTCCATGGGAATTAGGTTAAAAACTCAAATAAAATGGTTTGGGCGCCACCTTGTGGTGGCATGTTAGAAAGCAGGCCGAGTGGCCTGTTCTACCAACTGGTCAACCGCTCCATGGGGAGTTAGGTAAAAACTTAAATAAAATAAAATAGTTTGGGCGCCGCCTTGTGGTAGCATGTTAGAAAGCAGGCCGAGTGGCCCGTTCCACCAACTGGTCAACCGCTCCATGGGAATTAGGTTAAAAACTCAAATAAAATGGTTTGGGCGCCGCCTTATGGTAACATGTTAGAAAGCAGGCCGAGTGGCCTGTTCCACCAACTGGTCAACCGCTCCATGGGAATTAGGTTAAAAACTCAAATAAAATGGTTTGGGCGCCGCCTTGTGGTGGCATGTTAGAAAGCAGGCCGAGTGGCCCGTTCCACCAACTGGTCAACCGCTCCATGGGGAGTTAGGAGAGACTTACCATTTTCATGAAGTCCTGACAAACTTCCAGGAACTGCCAAAAAAAAAAAAAAATCTAAGGCGTTTTGAATCCTGGACATCAGTATGCCGACAGACTCTGTGTGTGTATGAGAGATCTATGGATCATTTCTATGAATGATCAAACACGGGTGTCAATAAGTTGACTGAGACTCCCTTCAAAAGTATATGTGTTCATTTAGAAACCTAAACTAAAAGGGCCAGCATATCAGGCTGAGCCACAGCTTGCAATGCCAGCATCTCTGTTAATGTGACTGGGAAGCAGTGGAAGGTGGTCCACACACCTGAACCTCTGCCACCTGCTTGGGATGCAGTGGAAGGTGGTCCACGCACCTGAACCTCTGCCACCTGCTTGGGATGCAGTGGAAGGTGGTCCACGCACCTGAACCTCTGCCACCTGCTTGGGATGCAGTGGAAGGTGGTCCACGCACCTGAACCTCTGCCACCTGCTTGGGATGCAGTGGAAGGTGGTCCACGCACCTGAACCTCTGCCACCTGCTTGAGATGCAGTGGAAGATGGTCCACGCACCTGAACCTCTGCCACCTGCTTGGGATGCCAGAGTTGAACTCCTGGCTGCTGGATTCATTCTGGCCCAGCTCTAGCTGTTGTGGTCACCACAGAGACCCAGCAGATGGAAGATCTTTGTCCTTCTCAATTGCTCGGTCTCAAACAAATCTTTAAAATAAAAATGGAGATGAACAATTAACACTTTTACACAAAGTGTTCTTACAAGGCCCAAATTTAAAGTTAATATTTAATCTTTTAAAAAATCAATCCAAAAGTTCAAATTTAGAAGACCTTAACTAAATATACAGATATTTTATACTTATTAAATATATCCTTAAGTCATTTTTATGAAATGAGAATGTTAAATTTAAAAAGTGGGATAAAATTGGTTGCTATTTTTGACCTAAAATATTTTATTGGGGAGGTTTTTGTGTATATGATTGAGAATTTGAACAGCAAAGCTGTTATTAGACGCTACTATGAGTGATAAAATCATGTGGTGTCTCGTATTTTAATTCTATTTAAAATTCCCAAATTTGATGTGATGAGCAGGCGGTGCTAAGATGTGAGTGAAAACTCCTGATGTAATACATGAAGGCTATAACATTAACAGTTAAGTTCTCTTCACTCTCCATCAAGACCACTCCCACATAAGGCAACCTGCGCACCCAAGGTCAAGCAGAGAAAATAATTGACAAACGAGACAACCTGGAGGAAAAACACCTTCCAGAGGTTTGAGAACGACTGTAACATCACAGCGACGGACTTTCTTCCTGTTGGAAGTAGACGGAACAAAATACGACAATTGAGGTTTTTTTAAGTTATAGTTAAGTTTCAGCATCTCTTTCAAAAATTCATACAAACATGGAAGCTAAGAACACCTGCCAGCCTGACTGAAGTTTCTTGTTTTTGACAACCTGTTTATTTTTTATTTTGATATATATTTTTGGTTCAGAGACTTGAAGAAAAACATGATGATTCCTTTAAGATAAGAAAAAAAAAAAAAACAAAAAAAAAAACCAGTCCTGATGAGGCTCATGCTGTAATAAACCCTTGGAGCTGGTTTAGCTCATGTGTACTCCTCAAAGGTCAAAAGCAACAATTCAAAGAGTGTGTGTGAATGCAGGTTCTGGGTTTTCAAAACGAATGATCAAATAATTCGGTTAAGTAAATTTAGTTTTTGCAGAGATTCGCCACCTAATTCCTGCTTCCTTGCTGTCTGAATTTTCCCTAGAGCTCTGATCATAATCATGGAAACAGCAATGCAGACACAACCGCTGGCAGTCCGATCATCCCAGTGCCAGCCACCGTGAACAGTTCTCGAACAGCCCGGAAGGAGCAGTCGCTGTGTGGGGATTTTGCCGCTGGGGAGACGGCAGGACAAACCAACATGCTCCAGTCAGTGTATTTAAGTGGTTTAAAAACTCCAAGCATTTTTCAACTGACAGAAAGGCTGAAACTTTGCTCAGCATATCACATGAGCGCACCGCCTCAGGGAGGCGAATGTCTTGGGGGAGCAGTTTGTCACCTCTCACCATGTTTATGAGGCAGAGCAACGGCAAGGGAGTGTCAACCACACCGTAAATTTGGCAATATAATACATCGAATATCTGATATGATTACCACAGTGCAAAAATTTTCCAAGTTGAAATCAACTCTGGCTTTATTTACTCATCAGCATTCCAATCTAATGAAATAATAAACTTGGCCCATCAACACATAATCCATTTCTTTCATCATAGTAACATTTTTCATGCAAGTAACAGTTTTAATGTCATAATGTAACTGCTGTAAGTTAAATTGATTCAATTTAATTAACAAGCATTTATTTCGCGCCTACCTGTGCACAGCACTGTCCTAGGCATACAAAAGGATGAGAAGATACGGTCCCTGCTCAAAGGGAGCTTACAACCTGTGTAGGAAAGACGACGCGTGCATACAAGAACCACTGAAAATCACATGGAGATAAACATAACTAACGACCTACGCACTCAAGGCAGCCTGTCGTGAAGGCTCCGTGATGGAGAAGCGATGCTATCGGGAAAAGACGATCAGCAAGAGGACTGACAGAATCGTGAGGTCAGAAAGGAGAAACCACAGGAGGGTGACACACATCAGCATGGCCGGTGCAGGGACTGGCAGGGGGACTGGTGTGGCTCCAGAGAGGGGCGGAGTGGAGGCATGCTGCCCAGGCTGGTGAGGGCAAGTGGGCATGGCTGCTCGCGGTCAGGGCTGATGTTCATTTTACAATATTCTTTCAACTCACCGAGACACAAAAGCCCACAAACAGAAGTGTGTTTTCTAGCCTTGACAACAAAGCAACGAAAACTTGTAGAATGCTGAGAGAGTAAGCCCAGGGAAACGGTCACTGAAATTCGAACAGACACACTGTGGGGCAGCAGTCACTTCTGGCATTGGTTCTCTTCCTTACTTGAATTGATGAAGAGCTGGGTTGGTTCAGAGTCAAGAAGCTCGTGAAGGCAGGAGACATCCCCACTCTGCACTCGCTTAGCGACTCAATTCCTTCTCAGGCCAAATCCAGGCTGCATGTATATTTGTGGGAACAGGAGGAAAAAATATATTTATATATATATATATGTTTCTGCTCTCGTAAAAGTAGGTGAGTTCCTTATTTTCTGAGCTTAGACGGAAAAACAGGAAGGTAAAGTCACGCGTAGCTCAAGACAAGGCTGAAGAAATGGGCTTTAGCAAACAAGCATTGTTTTGAAAATTAACCCCCATCCTAGCCTACATAGCTGGGTCACACCAGCAATTTACTGCATTAAAGCAGGGGGGCAGAGCAGGGCAAAAAGCAGTGGCGCAGGAACAGATCTGTAATTGAGAAGAGGTGGAGACCCCTGGTTCACGTGGGACTGATGATGCTTTTATGCAAGAACATGACCTTGATAATCCGTCTGGGGTAGAACAAGGGGTTGTTTCTTCAACAGAAAGAAACCGTCCAGATATCTGTGCGAGTTACTGGCCACCACCAGCTGCGGCTGTTAAAAAAGAGAGAAAGCGCTGATCCAACAAAGGCACATTGAACTCGGTTCCTGCTTAGCTGTCTAAGGGGAGGCTGTCTGAAATGTGGATCTTCCAAAAGTGCCCTACTCTGCTTTAATACTCACCACTTTTCTATTCAAAATGTTTCTATATTTACTTAATAAAATTCTGATAAATTGCAATTACAGGAGAATCAAAGTCTTGCTTTTTTGCAATGCTTACTCACAACTGCAAATGTAATGAACATGGAGATGTATCATTTTCAGATCTTTCCAAAGCCAAGAGGTCCTCGTTGTCCAATAACTACTCAGGGCATAGTTACTGTGAGACTGCACACAGCTCGGGGAAAGTCAGCTAATGGCATGCTAGAACATTGCACCATTATTTCATTAAGGGAACAGTAAGTCTCAACTAGAATTCTTAGCTTAGAATCCAGAACTTTGCACCTACCACTTTAAGCACGAATTTGGTGCTGTCCTGTTACACAAAAGCGCTGCTGGGATGTGTGTTGTATGCTGTTCTAGTTCCCCATCTGCAAAGTCTAAATGAACCTACGCAGCACCCACTACTGTAACCCCTTCTTAGACTTCAAGTCTACAGTCATCACTTCTCAGATAAGGGCTATGGGCTGGACACAATTAGAAAAAGAGATCTAGTTACTGCTTCTCTTGGTGAAGGACTCGTGAAGGTTTGTCTAGGCCACGGAAGTAAGACGCTGGAATGACCTCTTGCCTTCTCCCAAACATGACAGTTACAGAACTGAAGACACGGAAGTGGGAATAAACTCTTAAGAAAGTGACACTGAGAGAGGACAAGCAGTGACTGTTAAACTAACATCTATTTTAACAGAAATTTTACGTTCATAGTTGAGAAGCAGCACAGTTCACAGGAGAGCTCCACAAAGCTCAGACTTTTGCAGCACCCGGCACCCCCAGACATGAACATTAAGGGGATGACTGTCTCTGTCTTAGGCAGCAAGTTCAGGTTTACGAGTGGAGAAGTCGTACCTCCCGCCCCTATGTAATTCTTCCCCCATGGACTCAAGCGATGCTGGCCAGTCGTCACCTGGACGATGATGGGGAGGGCGCACTAACCCTCCCCTCCCGCGCTCCCGGAAAGGCCCGTGACGAAGAGGGCTCTGTCTGTGTCGGCCCTGCACTTCCTGACTCTGGAGGCTGGCCTTCCAAGGACCACTTGCGTTCTTGTTTCCCGTGGAAATGATCTCCTGATTACCACAGAGGATTGGTTCCAATACTCTTCAGGCACAAAAATTCACAGATACGCATATCCCTACCACAAAATGGCACTTTTTAAGTATAGCCTACACACACACATTAGACCATCTCTGGATTGCTCACACTGCCTAATGCGATGCACATGGTAGGTAAACAGCTGCCAGGATGTACTGTTTAAGGGATAATGATGTTATTTTAAAATTTGCACATGATTATTCCTAATGTGATTTTATATAAAAGAAAAATCATGTTTTTGATTGGCAGTTGATTGGATCTTTGGATGCAAAACATGCATATTACAGCTAGGGAGGGCCAAGTTTACTTTATAATTCAGCAGGCTTAGAAAAAGCACAGCTAATGGATTAGAGGAGGCTCCTGGCAGCCACTGTGATGAGCTCAGAGAGACACACCCCTGGGATCTTCCCATTGTCTCCATCCAAGTGTAAAAATAGTCAAAATGTGCAAGGGCGAGTCTGCCTTTGTGTCTGCAATGTGACTTTGGGGTGTTCTCTTCATTTTCTACCAGTATTCAAGGTTAATTTTTTTAAAAAGCTACTGTTAAATTTACATTCCTAAGTTTTTTTTCTTTCTCCCCTTTTAAAATTCCTCGTAAAACAACCCATCTCCCTGAATATAAAGCGAAGACTTGAAACACGGGCCATGGGACTGTGGACGGAATTGCCCACTTCAGGCAGACCGCCCGCTATCGAACCCTCCATTTGGAGGAACAAAGCAAAGCGGGGAGCACGGCGGCAGCTGAGAAATGAAGCTCGCGCCCTCAGCGCCTCTCACCTGCGCGGGCGGCCGCCATCTTCTTGTTCCGCATCTTGTTCTCCAGCGCTTGCTACACCGGAAGAGACGGGAGCAGCAGTCAGAACTCCTCCCTTCTCCTCCTTGACACTAAGTAAGACGACGTTTCTGTGAAACGCATTCTTACCATTTTCATCTTCTTTTTGAGATCCAGGTTTGCTGCCTTCTGGCCCTTGGCAGTAGCATTGAGATAATAGATGGTCAAACTAAATGTAGAAAAATAATAATAAAATAAAAAAAAAATAATAAAGCAAAATGCATGCCATCTTTCAGCTCCTCGAGATTCTTCGTAAACTGACGGTGACTAAATCCTTCGATGAGCGCGCAAGGGGGTGCCACCTGTACTGTGTAGGTAGCAGTGAGGGTTCGGCTCAGGACTGCCCAGTGACAAGGACGAGTCCAGGAGGGTCCCAAGCTCCGTCCTCCAGGCTGCACCACTCAATACTGGCTTCCTCTTGGAAACACACTGACATCATATTAAGTTGTAATTAAAAACAACTTGTTAATTTAACAGCAATGGTATCCAAGAGAGGAAAATGTATTGATGCTACATGTCAAAAGAGGAAAGCCACATTCTACCCTAAATTCCCTCCTTTGGCCTTTAACTGGGAACAGAATCCTCACAGGCGTAGTAGATTAATATGGATTTTTTCCATAAAATATATTGTTTCCATTTCCATTTCTCCTTGTCTTTATAAAAGAATATGCTTCCAGAAAAAGCAAATTGCAACCTAGCAATTCTGCTAAAAGCAGCACTCTCATCTTAGGGGAAAAAATGAACAAAGAAAAAGAAATGCTCTTTAAAAATGAAAGTGACACTGCTGTTTGTGGCAAATAGTTGGGTACTGAACACATCTCCTCTACTCTCCACCGTGCCAGATAATATCTTTTATATCTTTTATGGGCCATCTGGAGTTAGCAACCCAATTATTGATACACTTTAACTGGGTTGTCTCTTATATCAGTGGAGGGAGTTTGGAATTACAGACATGCAAGCAGGTATCTAAGGATTATCTGCCACACACGCACACACACACACAGGTGTTCGATAAATGTGTGTGTGTGCTGCAAGGATTTGCCTAGAACTTTCCCTTGATTTGGGCGGCAAAGTCGAAGACCTCAGAAGTCATTTCCGTTTGTGGATTCTGATCTTATCAACACTGGTTCCCTGCCTTGCCATAACTCATTTCCTCATTTCCAAAGGGATCCAAGTGCCTGCGGAGAACTAACCGAGCTCTACTCAAATGCTGCAAAACCATCGAGGCTCATTCTGGAAGAACCACTGGGGAAATTCAAAATGTCTCTTAATTAAAGGTAATAAAAAGCCAAGCCAACCGTATGCGCCCTATAAAAGAAAAAATGAGGCCTCCGGGTGTGAAAAAAAACCATAAAATCAGTAATAAACTGAAATTTGGACTTTAAATCAGAAGCTCAGAGCTAACACTGGCCCCTCCTGGGTCTCAGCTTGCCTTGCAGGGTGTCCCAACAAGGGGCAGGCCTACGACTTCCAACTCCAGCCCAGCCCCCAGGCTGGTTAGTTTGGTCCATGAACTCAGAACGCTTTTCACATCCTTAAGTGGTTATGTGAGTATTCACTAAGATCCTCAGTGACATCTTGGCCTAAAACATCTGCTGTCTGGTCCATCCGTGACTACCAGCTTGGAGCCCATCCGATGTCTCCACTGAACCAGAACTCAAGTATGTGTAAAAAAAAAAAAAAAAATCGGTGAGACTGAGAAGGCAGGACTTGAAGTCCGTTTCTCCAATGCCAGCGTCGGCTCCCGGCCTACACCTGCGGCAGACTGCTCACTGTTTAGACAGTGGCATTTGAATCAAGCTGCTCCTCTGCTTACAAACGGGCATCCCTCAGCAAAGAACACCATCACAAAAGCTAGGACGTTTCTACTGTGTGTGCATGTTCTGAACAGGATCTCACTTATGCCACTAAAATGGCCCTGACTCGCAGAGATGCTCAGATATCCGAGACATGCTCTTAGAAGCCACTGCTGTCATGAACGTGTAGAGTACGGAAATCACTTTGATGGCCATCTGGCGAGACACGCTGCACTCGCTCGACAGGTCGTTTCCCAACACACCCAGAGATGTCGTTATCAGATTCTTTAGGTCGCCTCACCATCAAGGGTCTCTAATTTATAAGAGCGATCTGTCTTGCTGTTGATTTTTCCCATCAGCTTTTCTGCATAGAAGACATCCCGGGTTAAGGAAGTGAACATTGGATTCCCTGCCAATGGATTTAACTCCCAGCACTGCCTTTTTAGTGTCTCACGTAGCAGGAAAACTCACTTCCCACCTGCCCTTTCTTAGTTTATAAAATCTATAATGTTGCGTATGACGCCTGCCCCCTCTCTTAGGAGACTTGAGATCGTGGTCACAACCAAGATGACGGTAACAACTTGGTCGGATTCTCAGCTCATTTACTCCAACCCACTGGGAGATGGCGCCCTGGGGATTCCTCCCTTCGCCTTTATCCAAACAATCCCGCCCTTCCCATCAATGCTGTTCCTGAAGTGTCTCTCAGGTGGATTCATCCCTGCCCTTCTTGATTGATGGTGCAGGAGGCACTTTGGGGTTTAAAGGAAGAACTGAGGCACTTTTCTTGGCTTTTCCATAGTAGTATGTATTTTTATTTTAGAGGCAAGTGTATATGGGTTGACCAAGACTCCGAAGCCAATAAAAGTTCTATGGGAACAAAACCTCCTGCCAATATTATTCTCAACCAAGCTTAGTAGCAGTGTTCACCAGAAATCTGTAAGTGAAATGATATTAAATCAATAATCTTGAACCAAGAAACTCAGTGAAAAACATTGATCACCGCTATGAAATCCCTCTATCAATCTAAAAATGCAAATTTCAGTTTCCCAGTAATATAGGCATCCTAAGAATACATAATTAACAACCAGATACCACTTTAGAGCTAAATCATTAAAAGCATGTAAACTAAAATTTAAACCTTCACAATTCCATGGAAGCATACAACATTTTGACACAATAAAATTTTACTCCATTTTGCATTTGACAATAATCTTAATATAATTCAATAGTCTGGTCAACTGTCTCCACAAAACAGGAGATAGATCCGTTGGCATTCTTGAGGCCTCGTAAGAATACCAAGGGAAGCCCTAGGATTTGAAACCTTTGAATACTTAAATGCTTTTTTAAAGGTAGCTGAAAATATCTGAAAGATTTGTTGTTGAAGTTAGCATGACACATTATACATTACAATTGGTTATTGATGTGAGAACATCACTCAAATATCTTTAAAGCAAATACAAAACCTTGACACATTAAAGGCAGTGAGAGATTTGATAACTAGCCAAAAGCACAAGAATTACATTAATACATGCAAACACTTTGTAGACGATATCACATTAATTTAACTTATAGCTTGAAATAATCTAACAGTGTGTTACAGTTCAATTCTATACCAAAATTACGATAAAATTTCACTCCTTTTTTTTTTTTAAATGTCTCCCCAAAAAACCTTCAAGATTTACAAAAGCCCAGTCTTTTCTTTGAATTCCAAGTTCCCAAAAGTTGTAATGGATAAAACATTCCAAAAGACATGCAGTTACAACCTGGGTACATTAACACAAAAACAGCAAACTTTCACCTTATATAATGCCGTCACCCAAATACTCCTTAAAGCAAGAACATCACTTTGTTAATTTTAAACAATAAGAACTTAATGAGACAGAGAACATAACTTAATGTAAAAACTTGTACTTAAAAATTGGCATACATGATTAAGCAATGCTGTGTAGAAAAAGTGCTATATGAATAACATGCATTCACCACAATTGATTGGAATTTCAGCCTCCAGGATTTACTTGCTGGCTGTTTTAAGTTTGAAGCTTCTCTGCAGGCACAAATTGAATAGGAAGTTCCTGTTTTGTAAACCTCTGGATGCTTGGGACCTGGGAATGGCTTCTCCAGGAGTCTTCTTGCCACAAGCGTCTGCCACCACGATCAAACTTAGATTTACATTCTTTTTTCCAGTGCCGGCCTCTTTGGCACTTAGGACATATTCCTGGGGAGTGACTGTTAAAAGTATCAACATGGTATCTTTGAGTTGTAGGAAGCATCCGGCAATTTTTTCTCAGGTGTCCTCGCTTGCCACAGTTAAAACATTTAGCATTCATTTGCTTTTGAATGGCAAAGGTTTCAAGTGCTACTAGGCGGGCACGGTGTTTAAATGTGCCTATGTTGCGACAGGCTTTGAGGTAACCAAAAATATCTTCCTTTTCTTTTATAGGACGAATAACAGTCTGGCAGTCCTCGTTTGCATTCTCAAAAGCCAGTTGCTTTAATAACAATTTCCTAGTGCCTTCTCCTCTAACTTGTTTTTCTATGGAGTCTGTCAAATGCCTTACAAAATCAGCATAAGATTCTCTGGCTCCTTGAATGACTTTTGTATAACTGCCTGTAAATTCAGACCCAGCTTCAATTTTCTCCCATGCCCACAATGCTACGTCTCGTATATGAATGAACGCAGCTTGAGGTAGCAGTATCTGCTGCTCTGTAGTAACCCACTGTCCATCTCCGACTAACATATCATAAGTCAATTGCCTCCCTCCAGGGAGTTGGCGACCTGATGCTCCTAACGATCGCAATTTTTCCTTAGCCATATCGCTTCTCCACATTTTCCATTGTAAATATTGAGAAGGAGAAAGTCCTATTTTTGCTATTACTTCAAAATCATAAGGAATCCAGTTTGCTGCCTGGCTCCAGCCATTTAAATATTCCCACACGTATGAGGAAGTAGGTCCGTAGGACACGCAAGCCTTTTTAAAAGCTGTGATGGCATCAACGTCTAAGCTTTCATAAGTAGGTTGATGGTTTTCTTGACTAAGTATGATTGGAAAAAGCAATCGGAGTTCATGAGGTCTCCGGGGAACATCAGACATTTGGAAACGTCTTTGATCAGATTTAAGAGTGAGATGGCATGGGCTGGTATTTAACTCTTCCATTATCCTACCCTTGTTTACCTCACTAGAGAAATCCTGTGGTTTAACACTACAAATTTTCTTCTTTTTCTTAGTTCTCATTTCATTTTCAGTCACATTCTGGTAACGTCTTTCATTAGGAGAATCTCTCCTGAGTTTTCTTTTCCTAATTTCCACATCTGCAGCATAAGGCCTTTCTCTTTTAGCTGCATTACAGTGGCATATCCTCACAGGAGGGTCTC